GCAGCGAAAAAATCAAAACGAAAACAGGAGAGAGAGAAGAAGAACACAACCAGATTTAACGTGGGAAAACCTTCTCCAATGAAGAAGTAAAAACCCACGGGACCTAGTCCAGATCAGAAATTCACTATGAAAATAATGGTTACAACGAATCAAATACACCAATGTGGTGGTTAACTCAACCTCTCCAACAATGGTGATAATCAAACTACCCTAGAGATGTTTCACTCAAACTCTCTCTAGAGATCTCTCAGATGCAAAGCATAAAGCTTTACTCAAACAATCAAATAATTTTTCTCTCAAATTTGTTCTCTCAAATCTGACCTAGCCTCCACCCACAACTAATGAGTATATATAGAGGAGGTGGAAATTAGGGTTAGGGTTTTTAGGAAACCCCTCAAATGGGCTTGGGCTTAGCATTGAAGGAGGAAGCCCAACAAATCTCCCCCTCCGACTTCAATGCGTCGACTTCAGCATCAACCTGGCTCCTTCACAGCAGTCTTCAAATTTCCTTGCTGGAATCGGCTTTGTCATCATGTCGGACCAATTTTGGTCAGTGTGCACTTTAACGAGTTCGAGCTCTCCACCTTCCACCACATCGCGGATCCAGTGATACCTCACATCAATATGCTTAGTGCGGGAGTGATAGGTCGAATTCTTCGCAAGATGGATTGCGCTTTGATTGTCACAACCCAGCTCGTACTTGTCTTGATCATGGCCGAGTTCCATGAGGAACTTCTTCATCCACAGCATCTCTTTGCTTGCCTCAGTAGCGGCAATGTACTTAGCCTCAGTTGTCGATAGTGCAACACATTTCTGAAGTCTTGATTGCCAAGAGACAGCTCCTCCGGCAAATCTCATCAAATATCCTGTAGTCGGCGTCTCCCCCTAAATCAGAATCTGAGTAGCCTTGCAACTCGGCTTTGCCTTCTCCAAATCGGAGACAAAAATCGGTCGTACCTCGGAGGTACTTGAAGATCCACTTCATTGCTTCCCAGTGCTCTTTGCTGGGGTTTGACAAATATCGGCTTACCATTCCAACAGCATACGCCAAGTCGGGTCTAGTGCAAACCATTGCATACATCAAGCTTCCGACGGCGGATTGGTAAGGGACCTTCATCATCTCATCTTTATCTTCATCAGATTTCAGACATTGCTTCTGGTTCAGCTTTATGTGTCCGGCAAGGGGGGTGCTCACTGTTTTGGCTTTGTCCATGCTGAATCTCTTCAAAATCTTCTCAATATATTTCTCTTGACTCAGCCACAGTAGTTTCTTCTGTCTATCTCGGATGATCTTGATTCCGAGAATCTGCTTTGCAGGGCCGAGGTCCTTCATTGTGAAGGACGAACTCAACGCCTTTTTCAGGGCGGCTATCCTCGATTTATCTTTCCCTACAATAAGCATGTCGTCAACATATAACAACAAAATCAAAAAATCTTCGGCCTCATACCTCTTCACAAATATGCAGTGGTCGGCTTCAGTCTTCTCAAACTCATGATCAGTCATGAATGATTCAAATTTCTTGTACCACTGCTGAGGTGCTTGCTTCAAGCCATAGAGACTCTTCTTCAACCGACATACCAAGTCTTCTTGGTCTGGAGCTTGGAACCCTTCTGGTTGCTCCATATATATCTCTTCTTCTAAGTCACCATGAAGAAATGCCGTCTTCACGTCCATTTATTCTACCTCGAGGTCCATCGAAGCCGCCATGGCTAACATGGTTCGGACCGAGGTCATTTCACCACAGGAGAAAAAATCTCCTCAAAATCAACTCCTTTCTTCTGATTGCAGCCTTTCACTACATTCCGGGCTTTATATCTCTGCTTCTGCCCGTTTTCTTCATTCTTAATCTTGTAGACCCATTTATTTTTCAAAGCTCGTCTTCCTTTTGGCAACTCAGTCAGCTCATAAGTCTGATTCTCGTGCAGAGACTTCATCTCGTCTTGCATTGCCTTTTCCCATTCTTCTTTCTCTGAGCTCGTAACAGCCTCATCATAACTCTGAGGCTCACCGTCTTCAGCAACAACGGTGTATTCATCAGATGGGTATCTTGTAAAGGGTCTTCTTTCTCAAGTTGGATACCTCGGCTGTTCTTCAGCTTGAGAACTCGGTTCATCATTCTCATCCCGGATCTCATCATCAACTCGGACATCAGTGTCTTGGTCATCCTCAGCTGGTTGCTGGTCATCAATCTCTTCATTCTCTTGATTTTCTCCCCCTGCTTCAGCTCGGACAGGAGGGATGGGTTCTTCATGTCTGACAGTAACCCGGACTTTGGGCTTCGAGATGTCATGAATGTTCTCATGCTCATGAAAGATCACATCTCGGCTTCTCACGATCTTCTTATTGATTGGATCCCAAAGTCGGAACCCGAACTCGGATTTTGGTGAACCGAGATAGATGCATTCTTTTGTCTTCGCATCAAGTTTTGCCCTTTCATCTTTAGGGATATGCATGAAAGCTCGGCATCCAAAAACCTTCAATTGATTGTAGGCCGCTTTCCAACCTGTCCAGACTTCTTCTGGAATTTCTCCTTCAAGTGGCCGTGATGGTGAGAGGTTGATCAAGTCAAAAGCTGTTTTGACGGCTTCTCCCCAGAATGATTTCGGCAATCCGGTATTGGATAACATGCTTCGGACCTTCTTTTCAATAGTTCGGTTCATCCTTTCAGCCAGTCCATTCAACTGTGGAGTCTTGGGGGGCGTCTTCTCAAGTCGAATCCCGGCCGCTCTGCAGTATGCATCAAATGGGCCGCAATACTCACCACCATTATCAGATCGAACCATCTTCAATTTCTTTCCAGTCTCCCTTTCAACCATAGCGTGGAATTCTTTAAAGGATTGGAGTACCTGGTCTTTAGACTTCAACAAATATACCCACACTTTGCGGGAATGGTCATCAATAAATGAAACAAAGTACTGAGCTCCTCCAAGGGATCTTTCCGACATGGAGCAGACATCAGTATGGACGAGGTCAAGAATATACCTGCGTCGTCTTGGTTGATCCGGTCTCACAAAAGAAACCTGGTGCTGCTTTCCAGCTAGGCAGTGCGTGCAACTCTCCAACGCTTGGCCTTTCAACCCGGTCAGTAATCCTTTCTTGTTCAGGCTCTGGAGCCCTTTCTCGCTCATGTGGCCGAGCCGCTTGTGCCATAGCTCCAAGCTAGGTTCATCTCGGACAGAGTTGGCTTCTCCGCCATTGATCTTTCCTTGCATCACGTACAAGGATCCTTCCTTCTTACCTCGGGCCACGACCAAATTTCCCTTGGCCAGCTTCCATCTAACACTACCGAAGTAATTCACTAACCCGGCATCATCAAGTTTGCCTACCGAGATTAGGTTCAAACGCATGTCAGGAACATGTCTCACATCCTTCAACATAAGTCGGCACCTGACATCTGTGGTCAGAGTTACATCACCGACACCAACAATCTTGCTGGTCACTTGATTTCCCATCTTCACGACTTCAAAATCACCACCTCGATAAGAGGAGAAAAAACCTTTGTGTGGAGTAACGTGGAAGGAGGCACCAGAGTCAACAATCCAGGTGCAGTCATCATATGCAACATTCAAATAATTATCCTCACCTAGGAGGAATATATCGGCATCAGGGTTTGCAGCCACCGCAGTGGTGCTCTTGTCTTCCCTCTTCTTGGGAATAATCTGATCCGGCTTCACAGAGCCGTTTTTCTCATCATTCTGCAGGGTCCAGCAGTCTGGCTTCTTGTGGCCTGTCTTTCCACAGTAAAAGCACTTCAACTCATATTTCGGCTTTGACCGACCTCTGGACTTATCTCGTCTGTCACGACCTCTACCGCGGCTCTTACTTCTACCACGGGAGTCAGATTTCCCTTTGTTCTCAGCAATATTGGCCTCAGACGTACTCGAAGTACCTCGTTCTCTTCTCCTGGATTCTTCGCCCAGGAGGCTGTCTGTCACAACATCCATCTTCAATTTTCCATCTAGAGTCGAGTTATTCAGGGTCACCACCAGAGTATCCCAGCTTTCTGGCAGCGAGCTCAACAGCAGCAATGCCTGCAATTCTTCATCAATTTTCATATCAGCCTTTGACAGCTGATTCACAATACCTTTGTAGGTGTTCAGGTGTTCAATCATGCTCATGTCGTCCTTGTATTCAAGCTTAACAAGTCGGCGAACCATATGTGCTTTGTTCCTGGGAGTCTTCTTCTGAATCATGGACTCTAGCTTCGTCCACAACTCATACGCGTTCGTGAATTCGGACACGTGCTCAAAGAGACTTTTATCAATATATTTCCTGATCGTGGCTACCGCCTTCCGACTCAGGATCTCCCACTCCTTATCAGTTTTTCCTGCAGGTTTCTCATCAAGGATAATAGGCTCATGTAGATCTTTGCAGTAGAGATGATCTTCCATCATCGGTCTCCAATAGGTGAAGTTGTCTGCAGTCAACTTGAACATATCTCCATCATGAGTTATGCCACTGGTCTCCATCTCGTCTCCCTCAGAACCCGTCGAACTCGGGCTTTGATACCACTATTGGAAACTCGGTTCCCTCAAGCTTGGCTAAGCAGCCTTTGTGCGGAAGTCAATCAACAAGATCCTGATCTCGGATCTCGGCAATACCTCGGCCTGAACTTCACCAGGTCAGGCAGCGCAGCGGAAAAATCAAAACGAAAACAAGAGAGAGAGAAGAAGAACACAACCAGATTTAACGTGGGAAAACCTTCTCCAATGAAGAAGTAAAAACCCACGGGACCTAGTCCAGATCAGAAATCCACTAAGAAAATAATGGTTACAACGAATCAAATACACCAATGTGGTGGTTAACTCAACCTCTCCAACAATAGTGATAATCAAACTACCCTAGAGATGTTTCACTCAAACTCTCTCTAGAGATCTCTCAGATGCAAAGCATAAACATTAATGTTGATCTATTGTGATTGTCGCATAACTACTGTATAACTTTGATTATATTTATGCACCCAAAGAGTAAAAAAGAAAAAGAAAAATTGTTGTTGCAGATGTTTTTGTTAGTCTTAAAGATGAAATGGGCAACTTCAAGAAATGCATATCTAGATCTGATGATGTTGAGGGAATGCTATCACTGTATGAAGCCTCATTTCGTTCAGTGGAAGACGAATTTATACTCGACGAAGCAAGAGATTTCACATCGAAATTTCTCAAAGAATTTGTGGACAAAAATAGAGGAAATGACACATCAATCCTAATCAATCATGCTTTGGAGCTTCCATTGCATTGGAGGGTGCCAAGATGGGAGGCTCTATGGTTCATTAACTTCCTAACTGAGAGAAGGCAAAATGCGAGTAGTCATGCTTTGCTTCAGTTTGCTACATTGGATTTCAACATGGTTCAAAGCATTCACCAAGAAGAACTCAAGTATACATCAAGGTAGTGACATTCATACAATGATACAACATCAATTAAGATACCATTATATTGAGTAACATATAGTTTCAATTCAAAGCTGAGTTAATTATTCGCCTTTCCATTTTTTAAGATATATCACAGAAAAATTAAGGAATAATATTTGCTATGCTAATACTTAAATTTTCTTTCATTTTAAGATGGTGGAAAAGAACCGGCCTCGTTGAAGAGTTAAGTTTTATTAGGGACCGGTTGGTGGTTAATTTATTTTGGACGGTAGGATTGAATTTTTTGCCAGATCTTGGAAATTTCAGAAAAGTCATAACAAAGGTCATTTCCCTTATAACCACTATTGATGATATTTATGATGTATATGGTACCTTGGATGAATTAGAGCTCTTCACAGAAGCAATAAAAAAAGAGGTTAACATTATTACTTATCCATCTTATTCGATCTCTTTAAAATTTCCTTACCTCTAACGAATGGTTATTATCATTTTTGTTTGTGATTCTAGATGGGATCTAAATGCTATGGATGGTCTCCCACACTACATGAAAATATGCTTCCTTGCACTCTATAACTTTGTCAATGAAACAGCTTATGTCATCCTCAAAGAGAATGGTTACAACGTCATTCCATACCTAAAGAAAGCAGTATGTAGTTGTTTATTTTATTTTTTGATAAAATATTCTTTTTGACCTGGAAATAAGTTTTTAATCAATTTAGTCATTTAGAGATAATTTTATGAATACAATTCTTAAAATGTAAATTTTTTTAATTTTTTTTCATCACACCATTTTTTAATTTTAAAAGTTGATTCATAATGTGAAAAGGCCAAAATAATCTTTATTGATTAAAATTCATCTGAAACAGATGTACAGATATTATAAAATAGAATATTATAATCATACACAAGCCTCGAGTGATGTATCAGATTTGTAAAATGATATATTTTCAGCCTAATTAACTGTGTTGTTTATGTATAACATCCCATCTTTTAACATGAAAAAGCATTTCAAATTAATACCTTTAAAAATTGATGGATAGGTGAAAAAAATGAAGATTTTAAGTTTTAAAGACTAAATTGATATATAATATATTTTTCAAGAAAAAAGAGGTTTTACTCGTGCTTTTTACTTATATTATCTTTTTTGTTTTAAATTTTTATTTATATATCATATTGGAGTAGGATCTGTCTACAAATTATTTTTACAAATTACACTAAATCTGACTAATCATACACTCTTAATTGAAGTATGACTGGTCAGACATGGTGTAATTTATAAGAGTTTGTAAACAAAAAATTTGTAAATATAATTTTCTCCTCGTTATATTAATTAATTAAGATATATAATTCTCTTACTCGTGTTATCATAACATTTTAGTGGGCTGATTTATGTAAAGCACAATTGGTTGAGGCTAGATGGTACTATAGTGGATATACTCCAAGACTGCAAGAATACATGGAGAATGCGTGGATATCCATAAGTGCACCTCTTGTACTAATTCATGCTTACTTTTTGATTCCAAAACCATTGCAAGAGGAGGATTTTGTTTGCTTATTAGAAGAATACCCCAACATAATTCGCTTTTCAGCAATTATTTCACGCCTTGCGAATGACAATATTGCATCATGCCAGGTACCATGGCAATTTTATTCCTATTCTTTACCAAAAAAAAATATATATTAAATTCAAAATATATACTATATATATACATATTTTCTTTACTTGGTCATATAGTTTTCCACTTTTTTTTTTAGCGAGAGATGGAGACAGGTGATGTTTCTAAATCAGTTCAATGTTACATGAATGAAACTGGAGCTTCTGAAGCAGATTCTTGTGAGTACTTACAGTCCATGATATGTACAACATGGAAGAAGATGAATGAAGAAGCACTTAATTCTTCTTTTTCTAGGAGTTTCATAGATATTGTTGTAAATGTTGCAAGAATGGCAGTGTGCATGTACCAGTATGGAGATGGTTATACAGTACATGATCATGACACCAAGACTCGTATACAATCATTGATTATGCAACCCATTCCAGTTACATCTAAAGAGGAATATGCTGCTGAAATGAATAACTAAACTAGAGTTGTGTTGCTTATGCTGTGAAAAAAAAAAAATTTGTTATGTTTATCTGAATATGTAATAGTAGGAACATAAAGATGTGTTGTGAAACGGGTGAAGCTGGGCCTAGCTAGGAGGAGAAGAATGCCCAACTACTTAAATCATTATATTTTGGGCTAGAAGGGTGTTAGCAGCCATATACTATTTTAGTTTTCTGCCCTTTCTATTTCCCTGTTTTGTGCCATGTTTAATTTTGAACTTCTTGTTTAAATAGCAATTGGCATCTTAATGAGGTATTGAGAGAATTATTCCAATTCTCTCTTTCTTTTTCTGATTTATCTTTATCTCCCCCTATGTCTCCCTCTCCCTCCCTTCCTTCACTCATCCCCTTGTGTTGCAAAATGGGCCTCAGCCTTTCAATTGGGCCAGTAACATAAAGCAACAAAACTGAAAGAGCCCAATAGCAAAAATAAAGAGATTAACTATGTTTATGAAATACGTATAACAAAACTCCACCTATTTCTAAACATACAACCGAATAAGAGCAGTCAAGATTTGGTGTAGGCATTTAACCCATAGGCCCATATGCAATGCATGATCATGGTGTTTCAATTTTTAGCAAACCTAGAGCATCTCTAAATTTGCCAACAGGTACAGATTTTGTAAAAATATCAGCAGGGTTAATAATGCCAGAAATTTTTTCAACAATTACTTGTTCACTAGCTATTATTTCCCTAATAAAATGTAGCCTAACATCTATATGTTTTGTTCTTTCATGAAATGCAGAATTTTTTGAAAGATGGATAGCACTTTGTGAGTCACAATTATTTCCAGGTATTATTTCTCTTTAAAGAGTCCATTTCCTCATCCATGGCTTTTACCCAACTACCCTTGGATTCCAGCCTCATAGCCTCTTTAAATGTAGCAGGTTCATCTAATTCAAGCACATCCCCAACTTGTAAGGCATATGCAACCATTTCAGCATGTGCAGACCTACTTGGAGGTCTAATATTTCTCCTAACTCTGACTCGTGACAGCAAGTAGTCATCAAGACCACCATTTCCCTCTTCAACCTGCCCACCTTCATCCAGGGGACCAGTTTCAAGCTCTGGTTGACCAGGAACAGCTGGCTGTTCCATTAATTCTTCACCATCAACATGCTGCCCAGGTATGGCAGATTGCTCCACCTCAAACTGCAAAGTTCCAGGTGGTTGGGAAGAACTGGAATCACTCATAATGTCCTTGTAGAAAATATTTTCTTTGAAAATGACATCTCTACTGACCACACACTTTCTTTCAGCTACAAGCCAAAGCTTGTAGCCTTTTACACCAAGGGGATAACCTATAAAGACAGACTTTAAGGCTCTAGGACTCAATTTATCTTGCCTAATATGCATATAGAGAAGACACCCGAAAGGTTTTAGGTGACTTAGATTGGGTGGCTTATTTGACCAAAGTTCCATTGGGGTCTTAAAGTCTATGGTAGAGGAAGGACACCTATTTATAACATAGGTGGCTGTAGCAACAACCTCTGCCCAAAATACCTTGCCAAGACCAGATTCAGTTAGCATGCACCTCACCTTATTTAAAATTGTCCTATTCATCCTCTCAGCCACCCCATTTTGTTGGGGTGTTTCAGCACAGGTCCTATGCCTTTGGATCCCATGCTCCTTGCAAAAATCAGCAAACTGATTGTTGCAAAACTCTAAGCCATTGTCATTCCTAAGGACTTTAACCCTTTTTCCAGTTTTATTTTCAACCAGGATTTTCCAATCCTTAAAACTAACAAAAGCTTGATCCTTATGTTTTAGAAAATAAGTCCAGACCCTTCTGGAATATGTGTCAACTATTGAAATAAAATAGTGACATCCAGATAAAGAATTGGGGATATTTGGAGACCCCCACAGGTCTGAATGGACATATTCCAACACTGCCTTAGAGGTATTGCTAGCAGTAGAAAATGGGAGCTTGTGAGTTTTTCCCAAAATGCAGTTTTCATAAAATTCTACATAAGTTGCCCCTTTTGAGCTAATAATACCTTGCTTGTACAGCTCAGACAACCCCTGATTGCTGATGTGTCCAAGTCTCCTATGCCAGAGAATGGATTCATCAGCTTTAGCAGCTGCCACACAAGCTTCTTGTGTGACAGCTTGGCCTTCTAATATATAGAGGCTATTTACAAGTTTTCCTCTCATGAGGGCTTGTGATCCCTTGACAATGTCAAGTAACCCTTACTTACTTCTAAACTCAAGGCCACTAGAGTCAAGCATCCCTAAGGAGATCAGGTTTCTCCTTAATGTGGGAACAAATCTGACTTCCTTTAGAATTTTACAGCTCCCATCACCAATCTTAAACATAACTGACCCTACACCTTTTATCTCACACACTTGGTCATTCCCCATTAAGACTTTGCCACCCCTTTGGACCTCCAGCCCACTAAGCCACTCTTTTCTGGGTGTCATATGGTATGTACACCTAGAATCCATCACCCATTCAGCTTCAAAAGTTTTATCAGACAGAACTAATGCTTCAACACTGTCAAACTCAGTGAATACATTTGCATACTCAGTTTTACCTTGCTGTTTGGGGACACTCCTTGGGTTTTCAGGGCAATTCCTTTTCAGGTGGCCCTCTTTATGACAGTGCCAACACACAAGCTTGGCTTGGGGTTGACCTTTACTCTTATCTTGGTTTCCCTGGACACTTTGATTATCTTGGGGAACAATATTGTTGTTCCCCTTCCTTTTATTGTTTGACTTTCCCTTTTTATTTCCCTTCCCTTTAAAATAGAGGCCTTCAGCAGTGGGCTTTTTATGAGAAATCATTTCAACTTCTCTAGCCCTCAAGGCCTCAGTAATTTCATCAAGAGTCATATCTCCCTTACTGTATTTTATAGCATCCTTAACCCCTCTGTAGGAGTCAGGAAGAGAATCCAAGAGGATCAATATTTGATCATCATCAGTGACAACAGCCCCTGCATTCTCCAGTTGTAGAGTTAACTTATTAAACTCATCTAAGTTATCCTCTAGACACTTACTAGGGTCCATCTTGAAAGAAAAAAATCTTTCCTTCAAGAACATTTTGTTGGGGGCTGACTTGGTTTGATACAGACTTTGTAACTTCACCCAGAGCTCATGAGGGTTAGTGATCTTTCTAACCCTACGCAGTACACTATCAGAGATATTGACAACTATAAGACTATGGGCTAAAGATAGCAGGTCTTTCCTTTCTTTTGGTGTCAAGTTTTCAGGCAGGTCCTTTTCAGCTCCAATAGCATCCTCACATTTTTGCTGGACCAACACAGCTTTCATTTTAATTTTCCACATATTGAAATCACTTCTCCCATCAAATTTCTCCACTTCCAGCTTAGTGATGCCCATCTTGCCGAACCTCCACAGCCGAGCAAGCAAGCCAAATGGAAGGGGGGGAAAGGTATGACAGACAAAAGAAAAGGACAGAAAGAGAAATGGAACCTAAGCTCCTGATACCAATTGTTGTAAATTTGGGAACGAATTTCGCAAACAATAACAAGCTGACCATAACAAGAAGTATTAAAGAAAGCATAAAGAAGATGACACCAGTATTTTACAGGTTCAGAAACTCAGTATTAGTGAGTTTCCTACGTCCTGGAGCCTAAAGAGGGTTAAATGCCCTCTGGGATTACTCTATATTCAAAATAAGTTCCGAACCAGAGTTTACAATATATAATTTCAGCTATACAGAAATTAAGCATGCGAAGAAACTATAACATGAAACAAGAAAGCAAGAAACACTATCTTGATACAACACATCAAGATTAACAGACAGAATCATAAGGTAAGGAGTAACTTCCCAATCTTTGAGCTAGCAAGGAAACATAGTTCCTTTCACAAGATCTCCAAGCCGATCAACATCAGCTTCACCAATCTTCCTCACAAGGTTGAGCTTCCACTCTTTGACCGTCAATCAGAAAAGTTCACCGATCAATAGAACTGTCTTGTTGAGATGAACAAGTTTCTTCAAATCACCATAGATCAAATCTCAGTGTATCACTCGTTATTCTCAGAATGAATGCACTCACAAACCCTAGCGAACAGCTTTGTTCGAGAGAGTTCCTTTTGGATGGTAGCAAATCAGAAAAATCACATTATGACCACTGTGTGCTCAGCTGAGGTTAAGTGCCTCATTTTGCCTTCACAAAGTAAAACGATAGTGTTTTACTTGTGTTGCAAAATAGGCCTCAGCCTTTCAATTGGGCCAGTAACATAAAGCAACAAAACTGAAAGAGCTCAATAGCAAAAATAAAGAGATTAACATCTATGTTTATGAAATACGTAAAACACAAACGTTTCAAATTTCTTAGATAATTTTTTCTTTTAAAAAAAGTATCTTTTCTTCATTTTAGTACATTGAGAACTGCTTGCATTAGAGTACGAGAAGGAATAAAAACATCGATGTGAGCTGGCTTTGGCTTAAATGGTTTTGTGGCTTATATATCTTTTCAATTTTTGAAGTATTTGTTTCTCAGCTGAACAACATACTTTACATTTTCACTTTTTATTACCTAACCAAATATGCCTCTAAATCTTTTATTTATTTATTTTGACACGGTTTGTCTCTAGGGGTGTTCCTTCCTGACCCATTCCTGATTGCTTTAGAATCTATGACCAATTTGATCCCAGGCCTACGTTGCTCTTTCTCAACTTTCTACAAATTACAAAACGACTAGAGAAAAGATGGTAGTGGCTGCACGGAGAAACATTATTATCTGATCCGTCGTAGCTCTACTTTTGATTTTTTATTAAGGAAAACATGTTTTTCACATTACATGAAACAAATTATTAATGCAAATATGCAACCCATAAAAAAAATGGGTTGGATCCATTTTATTTTATTTTTTTTAGTGAATTTCATTTTTTTTATTTTTTTATGTGTTTATTTCATACAACATGAGAAAATATTTCTCTTTATTAAATATTGTTTCATTTTAGTTGTTAACGTAAGGCATTTGGTTGACGAGATTTTTTCATTCCCTTTTT